CCAGTCTGTCAATCCCCTGCAGTGCTTCGTTTAACTGTAATTTAGAGAGACAGCAAGCGCATTTCGTGGCATCTGCAGGCAGTGGCAAGTCCTTCCGGCATATGCCACAGAGGCCGCTACTCTGTGGTAGCTGTGGCAAGTCCTTCCGGCATATGCCACAGATGCCACAACTTGCCGAGGCATCTGCCGCTGCTCAACGGGAGTTGCCACAAGATGCCAGAGTAAGAGAAGGTTTACGGTAGCTGCCACTCGCCTTCCGTGGCAAATGCTGCTATTTAAAACCCGTATTTATCGTGTAAAATGTCGCTGTTTTGGCATGACTTTATCGAACTGATCTGTACACAGGACTGATGATCTGTACACAGGACTGATGGTCCGATCTCTATTTTTTTAAACATTATAATTTCTATTCAATTTTACTTGGTGCATGGTTTGCTAAAATAAACAAACGTGCTATATTTATGATGAAATATTGGCGAGTGAGAGTTGCAACGCCCTTGGCAATTTTCGCTTCTTGAGGGGAGTTTCCACTGCTTGCTACGATAAACCAGGTGTATTATGACTAGTAAAGACAAATAATTAACAAATAAATATCTGTATTGACACAGCAACGTGTACACTGGTGTTATTAGACTTGGCTACAGACTTATGGCAGCTGTAACTGATTGCAGTTGCCACTGCTAGTGAGATGCTAAGGTTTACTTTATAAATTAGGCAAAGGACTTATATTTGCCCCATGCCTTCAGCAGCAGCAGGCCATTCACTTTGATTTGATCCAGTTATGAAATGTCATCATTTCGACAATAAATAAATGCTACATAAACGTTATCTTGCACGTTTTATCGAACCATCTCCGTTTCTAACTTTAAATATATTTAAAAAGAGATCTCTCTCTCATCTGCGTGCGGGGGCAGGGCCTCACAGACATGCTGCTGCGCTGTGCACACAGTTCTGCCGGTAATGAATATTAGGATACATTTTGTGAGGAAACTTTTCCACCAATAATTCCAATAAGTATTCCAAAATGTATTCACTTCAGGTTTACGAAAGTAACTGTATTCGGATTAGTTGTTTTTCAAATGTAACGCGAGCTGAATAGTTAGGCTACTTGGTTTTTGTATTCTGATTACGTAACGCCGTTACATGTATTCAGTTACAACCCAACCCTGTGCACAGATCATCAGTCCTGTGTACAGATCAGTTCGATAAAGTCATGCCAAAACAGCGACTCCCGTTGAGCAGCGGCAGATGCCTCGGCAAGTTGTGGCATCTGTGGCATATGCCGGAAGTACTTGCCACAGCTACCACAGAGTAGCGGCCTCTGTGGCATATGCCGGAAGTACTTGCCACAGCTACCACAGAGTAGTGGCCTCTGTGGCATATGCCGGAAGGACTTGCCACTGCCTGCAGATGCCACGAAATGAGCCAGGCCCTACTGGTAATTTAAAGAAATTCCTCCCCCTATTGGCCATTTGATTATATGTAAACAGTAAAGGCTGTACAGTCCCTGGCACCTTTTCAGAGGCTTTTGGTTTCCTTAATTATTTGTCATGTTCCAATGTCTTGACACCAGCATTTTAAATATATCTAAAGTCTGACTTGTCCTGTCAAAAGATGTCAAATTTGTATTAATTAACAGTTCACCCAGGATATAACTGACCTACAAGTGGCACTTTTTGACAAAAATCATCCTGACTGGGCACCGTTTGTCAAAATAATTACAGCACCTTCCCCTGCTACACATGCCAGTTATAAGTTTACACGCCAGAAAAAGGTCATCCATCGCACTACTTGATCTCTACAGCATGGTATCTGATATACCGTCTTTAGAAGAGCCCACACCAGTCCTGGGAGCCACTGGGGAAGAAGAAGGACTGATTGAACCAGAGACTGGCACTGCAACTCAGACTGATTAAGCTTGGGTAAATACATTTTGAAAAAAACAATTGAAAGGGCAAAGTATTATATTTATTACAGGTTTCCAATTTACCCAGTGAAAAACAAGTACATGCTTCTTTAACTGTAAGCTGCAGAGATCACCTCACATAATAGATAGATTAACATTGTGTTCATATTACAGTTATTTTCAATGCTAAAACACATTTTTTGAAAGCAGGGCTTATTTTCTCAAAACACTAAACACAATTCACAAAACCATACACACAAAGTGCAACACACCTCATATATACTGCAGACTTAAGCACTACACCCAGAACTACAGAAACACTTACCAAAACCAAACTTTTGCACCAAATGGCACACACTTCATTCATAGTACAAGACATTTTGTAAAACCAACTACACACCATCGTGCTCAAGCACACTGTTTTATGGCGTTTGATATAGAGAATTCTGCAAATAAAGATTGTTCAAGTCTCAAATATGTGCAGAAACACAAATATACTGTTGTTATACTTTTACTTTTCAAAAAGTGGAAAGTTGAATTGCAAATTGGGTGCAGAGCTGAACACGTGTTTAGAGTTTTGGATATTTGAGCTGAGGTTTTGCTCTTTGAGTGTCAGTTTAAATAATGATGATTTTTGTGTCATTTTAGTGTGCACAACTTGTTTTGATTGTTACACTTACATTACATTGCATTTAGCTGACGCATTTATCCAAAGCGACTTACAATAAGTGCGTTCGACCAACAAGACACAACCTTGAAGAAAACAGAGTAATATAAGTACATCAGGTTTCATAGAGCAAAACATTTCAAGTGCTACTCAACTGGCTTTAGATAAGCCAGTCCTTTATTAGTATATAAGTGCTTTGTTAATAGTTCTATCGCTCGAAGTGGAGTCGAAAGAGATGAGTTTTCAGTCTGGAAGGTGTGTAAGCTATCTGCTGTCCTGATTTCAATGGGGAGCTCATTCCACCATTTTGGAGCCAGGATAGCAAACCCACGTGTTTTTGCTGATGGGAACTTGGGGGTCCCCTTCGCAGCGAGGGTGCAGCGAGCCGTTTGGTTGATGCAGAGCGGAGTGCACGTGCTGGGGTGTACAGTTTAACCATGTCCTTGGTGTAGGAAGGGCCAGATCCATACGCAAGTACCAGTGTCTTGAAGTGGATTCTAGCAGTTACCGGAAGCCAGTGAAGGGAGCGGAGGAGCGGAGTGGTGTGGGAACAATTAGGAAGGTTGAAGACCTGATGAGCCGCTGCATTCTGGATGAGCTGCAGAGGTCGGATGGCACATGCAGGTAGACCAGCCAGGAGGGAGTTGCAGTAGTCTAGGCGTGAGATGACGAGAGCCTGGACCAGAACCTGCGTCGCTTTCTGGGTCAGCTGGGGACGCATCCTCCTGATGTTGTAAAGCGTGTATCTGCAGCAGCGGGTTGTAGCAGCTATGTTTGCAGTGAAGGACAGTTTGTTATCTAGGATCACACCCAGATTCCTTGCAGTCTGAGTCGGGGAAACAACAGAGGTGCCGTGTACTTACATGTTCTTTATATAGATTTGATGTAAAAGAAACAAGTTCAATCAAATAAATATATACACTGTCATTAAAATTGATTAGTACTTCTGTTTCTTTTGAGAGGGGATGCCTTTTCCTGGGTAACTGTCTTGACATCACGTATCCGTATGTTTCTATGTAGAAAAGGAGATGTGCAACATGGGTACATGTTGATCCCAAACCAGCCGTGCAGTTGCAGTTAGCTGTGATGACTGCACCATCCTTCTTCATCAGTACCCACGGACATGTTGGCGGCAGCCCAATACTCTGAGAATGCAATACCTGGAAAATAAAATACAAAAATATTATTGGATTGTTGACTATTTAGAACCACCCTGTCATATGTTAGGTAGCACATAACAGAAGCTGACAACCAAGAATAGGTTCACAACTTTTGGAATGTAAATATATTGCAATATATAATAAAGCTTTATCTATAAAGCCCTTTTCATAAAGCACGTGTAGCTCAAAGTGCTTTACAATCACAAGTTAAAAATAAACCACGAGAAATTCCCCTCAGATCAGATATTAAGACCTTTACAGGTACATAGCAACAACATATATATATAACATTTTAAAAGGTTAAGAGACACGGCGAGGTAAAAGGTATGATAATAAAAATACATAAGACACAAGACTAAGTTAATTGATGCAACAATATAAAACCCTATAAAATAAAGTAGACATATAGATATAGGTACAACAAAAATAAAAGCTGGTGTTTAAAAATGTCCACTGAGTTGGCCTCTGATATTTCTTGGTAGCGTAGTGGATAAAAGCAGCCTCACCCATTTTATTTTGGGGGACTTTAGGGATATTTAAAAAGCCAGCTGAAGAGGACCTCACGAAATATTTACTCACTTTTCCAGCTATTACAGCCACATCTCCTTGATATGCAACGCAAACGTCGCGGATCCACCCGGGTGTGAACTCTTTATGTGCTTAGAGTCCTTTGTACGCCTTCATTTCCTCCATAGTGTACAATGGAATAGGCGAAAAAAACAGGTAGTTCACGATATCACAGTAGGAAAGTGAAGGCCATGAATTTATATCAAATAAGGGTCCACCGAACCAATCGACGCACATTTTTCTATGTAAACGGTCTTATCCTCCGGGTTTAGTGATTCGTAGTAGCCTTTCATTTTCGCCATTTTTGAACGCTGCCGCCAGTAGAGTGGTACTCCAAGATGTCTGCCGCGAAATCCCGTGACGTCATTAGGAAGCCTCTTCTGACCGAAGGGTCTCCGGCTCGAGCGAGCCAGAAGGTGACATCCACGCATTTTATTTTCATGTTTGACCGGAAGGGTCTCAGGCTTGTGAGCCAGGATGTGACATCCACGCATTTTATTTTCATGTTTGACCGGAAGGGTCTCAGGCTTATGAGCCAGGATGTGACATCCACGCATTTTATTTTCATGTCTGACCGGAAGGGTCCGAGGCTCGCGTGAGCCAGGACGTGTCCATCCATGCATTATCCCACTCTTAGTCCCTCGCTAGCCAATAACATGTCTTCTCTGTCCCCGTATAAATTCTCTCATTATATCCATAGATCACCGCAGCTAGCTCGTAAGATTTCCACTGCATCCCACAGGTAAGATTTCTTCACGTTCAGTACTTCTACTTCACTTCTTTTGGGGGTTAATTGGAAACGGTTATTTCCCTTCCCGAATGATATCCTACAAAACCTGGGCCTAATCGCCAAACACCTTTTCATTCACTTGTTATAAATTGTCATCATTATGTTTCATTTATATAATGTGACCGATAATAAACATGTATTCCATACATCACGTCTCTCCTCACTCCTCATCCTCATTCTGACCTCTGACAAGTCCAGGATCTCCAGTAAAGGGGTTATAGCATGCGGGTTAAGTGATCATTATATGATATTCTGTACCCGCAAAAAGCTAAAACAAAGGGCCGGCTGTCACAAAACAGTCATATCTAGAGACCTCAAAAACGACTCTAGCAAGGCCTTTAACCTAGAACTGGAGAGCCTGGACTGGTCAGATGAGCTCAGTGGTACACAAGTTGAAGAAACATGGCTTGGTTTCAAAAACAAATTCTCTGCAATACTCAATGATTTGGCCCCCCTAAGAACAACCAGGGTAAAAAATCGCGCTGAGCCGTGGATGCACTCCGGCATACCGGAGTGCCGGAGTTTCATCCGCCATGAAAACCAGAGACAAAAAATGCTCTGAGTTTCATAAAAGTCAGTCAATGCTTTCCAAAAGCACGAGCAGTGAACTCCAGGCCCACGTGACTGAACTCAAAATTGAAAGAAACAGACTAAGAAATGACGTAAGCTCCATGATCAAAACTGCCAAAAAGAATTTCATCAATGTCAAAACTGAGGAAAACAAAAAGAAACCCCGTGAACTTTGGAAATTACTCAATAACCAGCTTGGCTGCAGTAAAAAACTCAAAACGAGATTTTCTAACTTAAACATAAAGACAGATAACAGGCTCATCACAGACAAACTGGATGTGGCCAAGTACTTGAACATTTTTTTCACAAACATAGCCACAACTCTTGTAAATAAATTACCCTCCCACTCAGGGCTTTTTGGAGTAGATCACATCATGACCTACTACAAAAACCTAGGGGTACGCAAAGATGATTTCAGTCTAGCAAGGGTAACAACAGCAGAGGTACTCATTAAACTGAGCGCCCTCCAACCTAACAAGGCCACTGGCCACGACAATATCCCCTCCAAATTCCTCAGAGACACAGCAACCGCCATCTCACCAGTCATAGCTCACATAATTAACCTCTCCATAAAACAGGGAAAAGTACCCAAAGACTTCAAAATTGCAAGAGTAACCCCCCTGCACAAAAAGGGCAGCAAATTGGACCCAGGCAACTACCGCCCTGTTTCTATACTTACCTCCATCTCGAAAGTCATGGAAAAAATAGTATATGAACAGGTCGAAAAGTACCCTCGCGGAAAAGAAACTAATCTATGAATTTCAATCTGGCTTTAGAACATCCCACTCCACTGACACATGCCTTCTTTATTTGAGCGACCACATCAGACAAGAGGTGGACGAGGGCAAGTACTGCGGCATGGTGATGCTGGACCTACAAAAGGCTTTCGACACTGTCAATCATCCCATTCTGATTGACAAGCTAAAAGCAATTGGTTTTGATAAACTATCGGTGAGCTGGATGCAATCCTACCTGGAGGGGAGAGAACAGATGGTGGAGGTAAACGGTACTCTGCCCCCCCCCCTCCCAGTGAGCTGTGGTGTTCCACAAGGAAGCATATTAGGTCCGTTACTGTTCCTAATTTATGTAAATGACATGTCATCAGCATGTGACTGCAACTTGTTCCTGTTCGCGGACGACTCAGCCCTGCTGGTCTCTGACAGGAACGGGTTGCAGGTTGAAAAAACCCTCAGCTCCGAGCTCGGCAGAATCTGCACCTGGCTCGCCGATAATACATTATCATTACACCTGGGTAAAACAGAGTCCATTCTCTTCGGTTCGAAACATAATCTCAGCAAATCCGACGACTTCTCAGTTGCAGTGGGCGACATTATTGTCACAAGTAAGAAGGAAATTACATACCTAGGATCTATTCTTGAGGCAAACCTCTCCTGTGACAAAATGGCATCCAATGTAATAAAAAAAGTCAATCAAAGAACTAGATTCCTATACCGGATCTCCTCTCTGGTAAACAAAAACACCCTGAAAACTCTGGCAGGAGCACTCATTCAAGGGTACTATGACTATGCTTGCACGTCATGGTACCATAGCACCTCCAAGGCGCTAAAAATAAAACTTCAAACATCGCAAAATAAACTGGTCAGACTACTGCTTGACCTTTCATCTAGAACCCACCTCACCTCTGCCCACTTTGACAACCTAGGATGGCTTAGAGTAGACGACAGAGTACAGCTACTTGCAATGGGCCTGGTCTACAAGATCCACTACACCTCTATGGTACCCATGTACATGTCAAAATTCTTCCCAAAGGTCAAGGAATACCATGATCATAACACCAGAGGGAGCTCCACAAATCATGTGAAACCCAGATTTGGCACAAAAAAGGGGGAATACACATTTCGCAATTATGCCACATCAAGGTGGAACGCTCTTCCCACAACTGTAAAGGAAAGTAAAACTATACTTATCTTCAAAACCTCTCTTAAAGAGCACCTTCGGGGGAGAGCATTGCAAAACTGGCCCCGGTAATGGTACAAATCTCAACCTGTCGTTCAATGGACAGCTTCCCCCCCCCCATCTATGTATATACTCGCATTTTAGACTCTGTTACTAACTGTATATCTGTAGACTTGGTATGTCTTAAATGTCCGGTTAGGATGTATTAGAACGAAATCTAAAATGAAAATTGTAAATAAGCAATATGTATGTAAAAAAACCACCTGTATGTAAATTGTAAATAAGCCATCTGTATGTCAAATATGTCTTATATGTCTTAAATGACATGATGAATTGGAAATGGGGGACCCTGATGTAAACAAGACGAAAGTCTTTCTCTGGTCTGCATCCCCTTAACAATTGTATGTTTTGAGCTGTACTGTACTGTACCCAATATACAAGCTGTTAATAAACTTTTCAATCAATCAATCAATCAATCAATCAATCTCCTGATTGAAATGAAGCTCAGCACAAGTTCAGACAGGAAGACCTATCACTCCGTATCGCACGTCATGGCAATACTCGCTCCCTTCACTAGATGACAGGGAGCGCCACTCCTTAGCTAACCTATCACTTCCCTCCAATCACAAGCCTAATCATCGCACCTGCTAATCCCTCTATATATGCTCTCCCCTTTTCTATCAGCTGTCTTCCAGGTGTCAACGCGCAACCCTCCTCCACCCCTTCGCCTCCCGCTTCCAACTCAGGGCCAAGCTTAACCTTCTCCCTTCCAACCGGACCTAACCACTTATCACCACCACCAGTGTCTAGACCCAGGGGGGTTCATCGGAAACGGTTCTTTCCCTTCCCGAATGATATCCTACAAAACCTGGGCCTAATCGCCAAACACCTTTTCATTCACTTGTTATATATTGTCATCATTATGTTTCATTTATATAATGTGACCGATAATAAACATGTATTCCATACATCACGTCTTTCCTGATTGAACTGTTAATGTTGTATTTTTTAATAAAACATTTTTTTTGTGGAATACTTGAAGCGGCCCAGACTTGCCCAGACTCTACGTCCAGTGGCCCCCAGGTAAATGGAGTCTGAGACCCCTGCTCTAAAGTAACAGACAGAGAATCAGCACTTTTGAAACAGGGCTGAAACAGAGGGGATTATGGGATGCTACAATGCATGATCTGTTTGGTATTTCGAGCCAAACACTTCAGACATGTTTTGTATATAACTGAGAACTATAATATATTGATGAAAAAGAGCATATTAGGGGACCTTTAAAGACTCAAAACATTCCAAAGTGGATTCATTACATCACAGACAAATATTTTTGGTGTTCCAAGTTCCAATACATGTTCAAGACAATATAGGGGAATAGGGTAAAATAAAGTAGGTGACATTGTCAATAATATAATTGTTGTAATTGTCAATTAGATATTCTTTAACATTACAATAACTTCGTGAAATTAAGAGAAATCTACAGTCGCAGAAATATTTTTGTATTGCCTATATTGTCTCACCTTAAACATACATAAACTAGATTTGAAGGTATGCATATAATTGAACAAAAGTCATAATCAACCTTAGATTGTGTGCTAAAGCTTCTAAACTGTATATGATATTGCAATCATGTTGACATGAAAGCAGCCTGTAGACTACAATGCAGGGCAACACGTGCCCAGGCTGGGATAAAAGCAGATTCTTTGGCAGGTTTCCCCTGCACCAAATGCCCAGTCAGTCTGATCCCCAAATAATGAAACGAGTAAACCCTCATTGTCTCTCTCATCGCATGTGGAGATAATCTGCAAAAAGAGTTTATTATGGGGTAAACAGCCAACACACAGAAGAACAGGAGAGAGGGAGCAGAATACAAAGAGAGGCTTGGACAAACATATTTACAGGCATACAAACATCCAAACTAACTGTAGAAATGGATACATGGGAATTTTCATCGTCAAAATAAAATGAATGCAGTAAAGTGATTAAATTGCAAGTATAATCTCAGTGAGTATGTCAGTCTTTAAAATAACCTTACAATGTCAGTTTTACCAACATGAATGAAGGACATTTGTGTGTCCTGCAGACAGCGGCTAACTGTTGAATTCAGATTATATTAAGAGGTTAAAAGTGCTCCCTTACAATTAATGAACTACTTTCAAAACTCCCCTCAAATGCTACAAACTCAAATACAATAGTTAGCATATTTCAATATTTATCTTTCAAAATAAGAATGAGAGTTATATACTCATCTTAAGCCCAACAAAAAACCCTGTCCAATCTTACCTCTGTCCACTCTGTCCTGTGACTCATAAACACAGGCAAAATGAACTCTGCTGTATTTAAAGCCTCTGCTGTTGACTGAGCACTTCCCCCAAATGAAACAGACAGAGAGAAGAGAGAGAGAGACCCAGTATCTGCTCGCTATCACGCACTTTGTGACGCATCATATCAAACACATCCAGTCCACATCGATAGATATTACACAGCCCGAGCTGGGAAATAGTGATCAGTATGAAATTAGGACCTAAATCACATATAGTAAAAATGACCCATTGGCTGTTTCCCCCTCCTGTATAGGTCTGTCATTGGCTCGAACTAAGTATGCTATCGACTGATACCTAGAGTTTGTTACAAGAAATCTGGGGAGGCTGCTTTCTGTTTTTCTGGCCCCAAACTGTGGAACATTTGGATCTTAGAATAGCCATCTCCATTGGAGTTTTAAAAAGTAAAATAAAGACGTATCTTTTTAATTTGGGGTCATTTTAGTTGTATTACTGTTCATGTTTTATATGGTTCGGTGATATATCTCTTTGTTTATAACTTGTTTTTAAGAATGTTCCTCCATCTTTATTGTGTATCTGTAAAGCACTTTGGGCTGCATCTTGCATGAAAGCTGCTATTTGAATAAAGTGTATTATTATTATTACTTCTTAAACAAACAGTGTATCATATACTTTTAGCTGTAAAGGCCTAATTTTTCACTTTTCTAGCCCTGCTAGCAGCTGGCTCTGGGCTTGGTCAGCTTGGTCAAATAACTGTTGAGATTAATGACATTTTGGTTCAGGTATTTATCGGACTACCAGCATTTGTTCTGTTCTTTAGTGAAATATATCGAAGCATCTAATGAATGAATTGACACAGACCCCAGATGATGCACCCTAAGGACTTGAGGTCAAAATCTTATCTGGACCAATTTTTGGATCATGATGAGAAATCTGAAAAAGTAATTGGCTAATCAGCTCTACTTACAGTTTTTTGTATGTTAGCATGCTAACATACCTAACCAAGATGTAAACCTGCTAAACATTTGCATGTTAGCATTATCAACAGCACATCCTGCAGACGTTAGCACTTAGCTCAAAGCATCACGGTACCTACTGACACTTTTGTTTCTGTTAAAATGAACATTGTACGGGATATTGATCTGATTACTGAGTATATTTACTTTACTACTCATGACTCAGGCTTTTGACTGTGTAGAGGTGAATGCCTCCATGTGACAAACAAAACCACGGTTGCACTTTTGTAAGAAGCAAGCGGCCAAAATCAATGAGCAGCAGCAGTGACACTCACTGCATACTTGCATTGTTGGTGAAATAAACCTGTTGAGTGTACATTAAACCGTAATGCTGCATGGCTCAGTTTTCCAAAACCTGATTGCACCATTCGTTATTAATCTTTTTACTTACATGTTGGCATTATTTTGCAATTCAGCTCAGGTAAAAAGCCAACTGCTAAAACAAATATCTCTCTTGTGAGTAATTGGCTCAAAGTCCAAACTGGGCCAAAGTCAGTTGTCATTCTTTGTTTTATGCAGGGTAAACTACACGCTTTACTTGATGGGCCAGTGTGGGTATTTCAGAAGACTTCATAAAGAGTTGTGCGCCTTCATGTCAGATGTAATGTAACCCATAAAGTCAACATTGTGACAGTGAGCTGCCTGATATGCAGAGCAGACCTATATGCACAGTGTCTCTCTCACAAACAATGACAAATGCACATCATTCTTTACAAGCTCTTTATTTTCTCACACCGCCAGTGTTGTTGATGTGAATTGTTTTTTGGTAACTACAACTGCACTGCAAGTCCTCACAAACACTTCAAGTCAGATAAGTACACGCTATTGAATCGCACTACTAGGGTTTACATGATGTTCCTTGTTGATGATACGTACCTCTCAGGCTCTATATTAAAGAACGGAAAAACAGCCATGGTTTACAGAATAGGTTACATGATATTAACCCTTATTTTGCAGACAGCATTTGTATGCTTATTGTGAAAACAAACCCCTCTGATTATGTTTAAATGATAAATATCTTCATTGACACTCAATGTTATCCCAGTTGTGTTTTACGGCTTATGCACAGGCCATCAAATGATACATACAATGGGAAAGTAAAGCTTGCATAATGTACAGGAAGCAGTTTATAGTGCGAGATATGTACATGCCTTAGTCATTACTCTGTAATCCAGAGTATAGTTCCTCCGCTCTCAGAACATTTGAGTATCCTGAATAATACCAGGCTTTTATTGGGCATGTGAACACCGTCATGAAGCACATTAACCAAGCAAAGTTCATCAGGCTCTGTGCAAATGAGTTCTTAGTAGGGTGGGGCTTATATAGCATTGTATGGCAGATAGATAGATAGATGGATAGATGGATAGATAGGTAGGTTGAGAGTGATATATCTGGAAATATTCAGTGACAGGAAGAAGCTGTCTTGCTAGTTGTTGTGGGCGAGAAGTGATTATTGGAGCCTGATTATGAAAATACATACTTATCATGTAAGAAAACAGGCTTGTGCTATTTTTCAAAACATGCATCAATTCAGGCGGACCTTGTGATACATTTCTTAAGAATGTTTGTTGTTTACTAAACCCTCCTGTTATCCTCAGATTTACTTTACACCCTTTATCCTCTGGGGTCAATTTGACCCCAGTAGTTTAAAACTCAAGACAATGATCATATTCCACATTTGACCAACATGTATGTCTCTGGTGCTTTAGGTATCTAGTTGACTACCTAAATAACCATTTAAATAAAACATTACCCCAACCTTCCCCCCCACAGACCCCTTTATACATCCAGAATTCCTATTATGTGAATATCGAAAAATATATAAATCACCATAAAATCTCACGTACTGAAATAAAATGTTAAAGTAAAATCTTTTTGATGTTGTTAAAGGACCAATAACTAAAGCAGAGGGGTAGTTTTGTTTTTACAATGATACATTTGCATGTAATAGTCACCTCAATATCATCCTACACAATAAACACAAATATGTGTAAAATGTTGACATTGACATGTTTTACACTACTAAAACAGCCTGGGGTCAAATTGACCCGAAGGAACACCAATGCGTACAAAGTGCATACAGGACATTTAAAAAAGATCTTCATGTTTATTTTATGTTTACCTATTAGTCCTCACTAAATTAGGAAACGTCATGAAATAATAAGCAAACAAAATAATGTGAACCCTTTTTTTCGATACGTTAAACATTGAATGGGGTCAAATTGACCCCAAGGATAACAGGAGGGTTAAAAGGATGTCCACTAAAAATGATGTTTGTCCAATGTGTGATGCCTTCAAGATATTTGATAAATAATTGATGATATAAACTAATTCTAATATCTTTCAGTAGATCTGTAATTCATTTTGGGCAAGGATAATTGTGACAAGAGCATTACATATCATCTAGACTGCAACTAACAATTATTTTATTAGCAATAAATCCCCCATTTATTCTCCTCAATTCATGGTTTGGTCACCTGCGACTTTTTCAGATTCAAGGGTCTTTACATGTCTAGTTTGGAAGGCCCAAAGCCGGGCATGTTCACTTGAATATTATGAAGCAGAGAAAATCAGGTAGGCAGTTTAAAGAGGCTGAAAAT